GATCTTCCCACATCTTTATTAGCATTCGTTAATTGTACAAGGGAGTTGCATCTTGCATGTCCATATATGTAGATAGTATACCCTTCCATCACTGTCCTTCATCTTCCCTCCAAAACCCAATCTCATCAAGCTTCATTGCTCCAGTTTCACACATGGACATAAAATCTTTTAGCGCCATTCACCCTCTCTTACCTTCTCCATCTGCCCTCTTCCTGCCTCTAGTAGCTACATCCCTGACAGATATTGTTTTATAATCATGTCTTTTTTTTTAGTGCATGCTAATCATTCAAAGGGGTTTCACTGTGATATTTCACACTTGCATAGACAGTATTTTAATCAGATTAACTCCATCACTTACTCTCACTTTCTCCATCTTCCTATCCACTCTTATTTAGCAGCTTTCCATGATTTTTATTTTATTATGTTCATTCACAGATGCACAGGCTCTCCATATTGTTCACCCTCTAACATTTTCTTTTTATGAATTTCTGTTCATTGATATTCTCACTTTGGTAAGACCTGATTGTTATATTTTGCTTTAGCTCTGTAGGCCACTTTCTCAGAGCCTTTTGAAGATATTTAAAGGCTGTCTCAATTAGTCCAATGTCTGTATGTCTCAAAAATACTATCAACTATAATGCTTCTTTTCATTGAATTGCCTCTTTTTTCACTATTATTGATTTCTGCTGCTATTCTTTTTTTTTCAACCTATTCTAGGTTTTCTCCAGCTTCCTAACATGGAAATTGAGATTATGTATTTTAGCTCCTTTCCTTATATACAAGTTCAATGCAACAGATGTCCTCCTAAGTACTATTGTGTTGTATTTACATTTTCATTTAGTTCAACATGTTTTAAAACTTCTCTTTAAACTTTTTGCTGTAAATTATTAAGGATTGATTAATTTCTAATTATTTTAATGTTGTCAAACAATCTTTGTGTTAACTGATTGCATTTTAATTTCACTACGGTCATCATTCTCTCCCTTCCCTCCCAACCCAACCTCTCCCTTCCTTAATTTTGTACAATATACTATATATTCTTACCCACAGTACTGTCTTGCCTAGTGAATATCTCATGAGCTTCTGAAAGACATATATTCTGCCTATATTGAATGAAGCATTCCATAGCACTGTTCAACCATATCCCTATTCATTTTCCATTCTCTGGATCTCTCCGTTGGAAAGACAGGGACATGAGTCTCCAGCTGTTTAGATTTGCAATTCTATCCCTTTGGGTTTACGGATTTTGACACTGTATTGTATGGGACGTAGACTTTAGGAATTATATAATCGTAAAGAATTTATTCCATCTGCTTATGTAATGTCCTCATTATCCCTGATAGTTTTTTTTGAATGAATTAATACAGTTAGTATGCTACTTGTTTTTGTTTTTCTTTTTTTGGGTCTGGTCGTGGGGCCTGAACTCTGGGCCTGGGCACTGTCCCTCAGCTCTTTAGCTCAAGGCTAGCTGTCTACCACTTGAGCCACAGTGCCACTTGTGGCTTTTTTTCTTTTTGCTTATGTGGTGCTGAGGAATCGAACCCAGAGCCTCATGCATGCAAGGCAAGGGCTCTACCACTGAGCCACCTTCCCAGCCCTGGTACTTGTTTTTAATCTAGAGAGTCTCTTGGTAGAAAGCATATTGTTGAATCTTGTTCTTATTTTTTAATCTCCTCTGACAATCTCTGTCACTCCTTGTTTTCATCCACTGTTTCAGTTACTGTTCATGTTGATTATTATTACGTTTGTAACCATATTCTATTCAATACTTTGTTTTTTGTTTCTAGTTTTTATTGTACCATTTCTCAGCCTTCTCCAGATTTTATTGAGCATTTTCTGGCTTTCTTTTCTCTCCTCTCTCAAATATCAATTACACATCCTTAAATTTTTTGTCATTTCCCTGGAGTTTATTCTTGTGACCAACTGTTAACTGTTAGATTAACTGAAAAAAATGCAGGATTTATGTTACTTTCACTTATTCTCTAATGTTCTTCATTTAAATATAGAAACAAGCTTCTGGCCTATGTCATTTTGCTTTTCTGTGAAGATTTTTCTTTCAATATTTCTTGCAGAATAGCTCTGCTAGTGACAAGTTCCCTCAATTTTGTTTGCCTGTGAATGCTTCTATTTCTTCACATTTAAAGGATTATTTCACCAGACATAGAACACCAGCCTGGCAAGTTGTTTTTCAATACTCTAAGTGGTTCACTGTCATCTCCTCTTGTTTGCGCACTTTCTGAAGAGAATGATGGAATTCTTTTTATTCTCCTATCAGTAAGAGATGTTGCCCTCCTTCCACATTTTTTTCAAGCTTTTCTCTTCCTCTTGGATTTTCTTCAGTTACGTCACTAGCTAGAGATTTTTTTCCCCTTGATTGTGTTCTGTACATTTTGTAAATCTGTGTTTGAGTGCGTGATGGTAAGTGTAGAAAACCCGAACCCATTTACGGCTTCATCCCATCCAGGGACGTTTGGCCACTGACCTACCAGCCAGGTGAGTTTTTTGGTGACTGTAGCTTACAGGACAAACAGCTGAAGCAGCTGCCACCAAGAGACTGGACTGGGGTCAAGGGCCGAGCTCCATCTTAATGAAGATGGAGTTTTCCTGTCTGAATGAAGGTGGAGAGTTTTCTTGCCGGTCCCGTCTTCTTTCAGATCCCTTCCTCCATGAAGCCTGTGCAGAATGGCCTTAGGAAACATGGGCACACGGCATCCCTGATGTGAACACTGACCCTCTCCCAGAACCATTCAGTGGGTAGGAGTGGAGAAGAAGAATGTGTGGGAGGGCTGCCACTGGCCGATTTGTAAGCAGTTCTTTCTGGGACTTCAGGAACATCTGGCAGTGTTCACAAGGAAGGGTGAGCCAGTGCCCCCAAGTCCAGCATTCCCACTAGTGGGGCAGGACATCTGTAACCCAGCATTGAAAGATGATCCCACTCAAACATACAGGCTTTGGAGACTAGACAGAGCAAGCCCATATATGTAGTTGTGAGTTTCTGTGTATGCATGCACATATTGAGCATGTACAACTTTTTTCCTGATGCCCTATCCTATATTATTTTGACTCTACTTCAATTTTTTAAAAAAATTTGGGGCAGTTTCTTCACATTACACATTGAGGCTGTGTTCCTGAGTTCAGGCACCTTTTTCAGTGCTAGGTCCTGCCACACACCTCCCATTCCTATGCCTCAGTCCACCCACCACCTCAGCAAGAAATGCCCAGTTACCTCCAGGGACTGTGCTATGCTATGAAAGCAATAGAAGGGACAGGGGTCCTGTCACTGACCTGTAATATGGCCAGCCTTTGGCAGAGACAGAACTTGCACCCAAGTCTTCTGACTCCAGAAGCCCAATGTTTTTCCACCTCCCCTCATTCCATTCCCATCCCACAATAAACAAAAGGAAGAAATTATACACAAAAGCCACAAAACCACTTTTATTTCATTGCTACACAAATACAGAATAGAATTAAGGCAGTAGAATACATTTCCATTTATCATTACAGGCTTATATACAGTAAGCTTTGCTTAAAATGTCCATTGGAATTAACCATTAAATGTTGTTTAAGCAGCAGATTTTTGTTCTTGAATTACAGAGGAAAGCCATTCCCTGGCTTGTCAGATATGGCAATACATAAAACTACCTTTGCCAAGTGTGGTGGATTGTCTAGTGCTGGTGTCTCTTCGTCCTCAAGCCCTCGCCTCCAGGAAAGCCCACAGGCTTTTGGAGGAAAACTCATTTCTAATCCCCATGATATGAACTATTTGCTTCAGGGTACCAGTAATTATCATCTCCCATTCCCTCATTAATGAAAAAGGAAAGTGTAAAAAATGACTGAGTAAAAACATTAGGATGGGTTTTTTTTAATCTAAGGTACAGAGTAGTAATGAATTATAATATTGAAAACAACTGTCATGATTCTAGAAACCATGTTTGAATGTAATTGATTCTAGAAACCATATGTTTGAATTTTACAAGAAATTAGTTTAGGGGCTGGGAAGGTGGCTCAGTGGTAGAGTGCTTGGCTTACATGCATGAGGCCCTGGGTTCGATTCCTCAGCACCATATAACAGGAAAAAACGGAAGTGGCATTGAGGCTCAAGTGGTAGAGCGCTACCCAGGCCCAGAGTTCAGGCCAAGACCAACCAAAAGAAAAAAGAAAAAAAGAAAGAAAGAAAGAAATTAGTTCATTAACGGGCTTATTTTGGTGGAACTAAGTGAAAGAAAATCCTGAGATGCACTTAAAAAAGGTCACTAAGTAATCTTATACAGTAAAAACATGTCATCCTTTTGCTACCAAATCTAGAAAAATCAGCACCAATGTCTGAATGTTCACAAAATAGAAATAATAAGTTGGTGTGACCATATCTTCTCATCTGTCACTTGATCTGACTGGCATAAAATATTCTGCTAAGGGTTTATCAAATTGTATTCTTCAGATATAGATCATATTTTTTGTGCCTGAAGTTTACAAGGGAACCTTCCAGGTGCTTGCACTTTATCATAACTGCTTTTCTGACTGCCAATAAAATTACAATATAGAGTTAGCATTTAATGGGTAAAGCTGTGCAGCCACAGTCACTTGCACAAGTGGTCACCTACATACACCTTTGCCATGGCGCATGCAATTCCTCCCTGGAATGGGAGAAGAAAGCTGGAACAAAGCAGAGGAAAAAAGGAGTGGGGGAAGGGCAGAGAGTGGAGAGAAATCCTTTTTAGTGACCACCCAGTGAAAGGGAGGCTTAGAACAACAGATAGTACACCTGAGGAACATGCCATTTTCGAGAGAGCAAGGGCATATACAATACCTTTTGGAAGAAGGAGACTTCATAAGGAGTATACCCAGATGGTAGATGTAGCTTACACCGTGATCGATCTATGGGTCCGTGTTTGCATGTGTCTGTCTGTGTGCAGGTGCTGTAAAAGCATCTCATTTAGGATTGCAAATGTGTGACAACCTAGAAAGTGGACCACCACCCATCCACGCACAAGAACATGTTTTTACACTGCAATCTCATCAGAATCCTCCTCCACATCAATAACCACAACCGCAGGGTGATCATTGGTGCCAGCAGCCGTGGCAAGAGTGTGGGGGAGCTCTACAGCAGCCGCAGGTTCCTGTTGAAGGACAACAGGCTCTTGGGACACGGTGGTAGGGCTGGAGGCAGGCTCAAGGTCAGTGATGTGAGACTCGGGGGGCTCAGTGGGGATGATCATGGGGCACTGGGGCTTAGGGAGGTCAGGATCCACAGCAACAGTGGGCATGGAGTGGCAGCTGGTGGCAGGCTCGAAATAGTCAGTGCTGGTGGACTCAACATGGCTGGCAGCAGCCTTGACATGTTCGGTGGTGTGTGTAGGGTGGTGGGGGGTGGGGCTGCAAGTGGAGCTGCTGCTAGCAGACACATGGTGATTAGTGGCAGGCTTGGAAATAGGCTTGAAATGGTAAGAGTCAGCCTTGAAGTGGACAGAGTCACCCTTGAAATGGACAGAAGCTGGCTTGAAGTGGACAGACTCAGACTTGAAGTGAACCGAGGCCGGCTTAGGGTAGACAGTGGCAGACTTGGGGTAGCCAGAGACAGACTTGGAATGGCCAGAGACTGATTTGGCGTGGCCAGAGGCAGCTTTGGAGTGGCTAGAGACAGGTTTGTGATGGGTAGAGGCAGGTTTGCGATAGGCCGAGGTGGACCTGGTATGGATCTTGGGGTGGCCAGAAGCACGATCGGGGTGGCCAGCTGCAGCATCTCCAGGCAATGGAACATTTCGAACACTTCTCGGGGTTCCCTGTGTAACAGGACGAGCGCGAGCAGGGTCTTGTTCCCGAGCTTGTTCCCGGGTTTGTTCCCGGGCTTGATCTCGGGCACGGACACGGGCACGGGTGAGGGCACGAGCTTCCTGCATCTCCCGGATATCAGCGATGAGGCCAGAGAAGAACAGGATAGGATGGCGAATAGCATGGAAGATGGTCCAGTACTCTCGCCGGAAATTCTCATTAAGGAGCCCATAGATGACAGCATTGAGGCAGCTGTTGAGGTAGGCTATGAGGTAGGCTGCAAGATAAAGCCAGTGGGGAATCTTGCTTGCCATCTCCTTTGGACTTACAGCCACGAACACCATAAGCACATTGATAGGGCACCAGCATACTGCGAAAAGGAGAAAGATCACAAACATGGTTAGAAAATTGCGAACCTCTGCAAACTGGTTATCGGGATTCTGTGCAGCTGAGTCTCGAGCTGCCAAGACTTTGGTCCAGATCCTCATGTAGCAGAAGCCGACTATGATGAGAGGGAGGACAAAGTGGATGCAGACAATGGTCACGGTGAACACAGGGTTGCTCAGATAGTTGAAGATGCAGGTGTAGGTGTGAGGATCATATTCGATGGTGCCAATGTACATGTTGGGCAGCACAGCCAGGACCGTCATGACCCAGGTGACCACCAGGTAGACACAGGTGTTGCGCACGCTGAAGATCCGCTCATACTGCAGGCTGTGGCAAATGTAGCAGTACCGGTTGATGGCGATGGCCATGATGTTGAAGATGGAACCAACCACACTGAGCCCTGTGACGAAACCAACCATTTGGCACTGGAGCTGGCTCAGATTCCAGCCCCCAACCGACATGGTGTACAGCATCAGAGGGTACGGATAGATGGCTACCAGCGCATCAGCCATGGAGAGACTAACCACAAAGATGTTGCCTGGAAAACACATGGGGTGGGGAAGAAGGGGAAAATTCAGAGGGGAATACGTGGTTGAAGTGTGGAAACATAGGAATTTAAGGTGGAAAGGAACCAAGTCGCCCGTGGTAGGACTGTGCAAGCAGGTTAGGGAGACCTCTCCTTTTTCCACTTTTGCTGCAGGAGAGAAGGAAACATAAGTCAGTGAGAGTGAGCACAAAAGGATACATGGAGGCAGAGTCACCTAACAGCATTTTAGAGAGAAACAAGATGCAAGCTTCCTGCCCCATAGGGGGGCAGGGCAGGAGGAGGAAAAGCAGGTAGAGGTGAGCTAGATCCAGGAAGTAGCTGAGTGGTGAAGGACACGCAGAGATGCAGAGGAATGTCAGGAAGTCTCAACCTACAAAAAAAAAAAAAGTAAACAAATTAGCCTTGTCGCTTTATTTTCCTAGCATTTATCACAAAATCCTGTTCTAAGAAAGCATCATGAGAGGATTTTAGAGGCTGTTTTCTTCCCACCTTTGTCCAAAGGGATCAGACTGTAATCTGAGACTGAGTCCAGGCCAATACTTACCATTTCTGAATTCGAGAGGAATGGGAAAGCCTTGCAAAATTTACTCTGAGGATCAAGAAACAGTGATGAGGGAACCAAGGAAAATCTTGACCAAAATTAGCACAAGTGCCAATCTTTGAAATCTGGTCAGTTAATGGGCAGAGGCTGGCAGTAGCCCCTTGGTGTTCTGCAGGGGTCCCCTAACATGAAGCATTCCTGCAGCCTGTGGGGTAAACGAGAGATGGTGGCAATTCCCCCACTTTTGTTGTGTAAGACACTAGAAGGAACTTTTTCTGTAAAACTTTCCACAACACAGAGGAGGTAGAGGCCAAGTGCTGGTACCCAGCCCTCTATCTTAGGAAACACCTCGCTGCTAATAGGCAGTCTATCCTGGACGAGAAGAAAACGAGGGCATTTGAAAGGGCCAACGTATGTCTCCTGCCAGCTTTTAGGGGCTTCCCTCAAAGTAATGATTTCGGGTCGTGGGGAAATGGGAATCTTAACAAAACCATAATAGCTATAAGTACTTTTATTAGAATTACAGAAGGAAAAGAGAAGAAAGAAGAGGCGAGAGGAGGAGCGTATAGAAAAAGGGTGTCTTCGGTGGCCTCCTGGGATGTGCACCTCGGTATCACTTGGGCTGAGTGTAGGCACTCCAAGGATGGAGCATCTTGTCGGTTGAGAACCAGCAGAAATCTGACACGGGTAGCAGAGTTGGAAAGAGAATGTTGAGAGAGAGGGCGGGGGGGGGCGGGGGTCCTCAAACCTCTTAGATCCTTGAGCCTTAACCTCGAAGTGGGCAGAGACATTGGCAAGATAGACTCAGGGCGTCACCCTTGTCCCTTCTCCAGTCCCATCCCGCGAGTTCTGCCCCTAGGCTACCCCCCAGCCCCGCCCCTTACCCAAACAGAATTGGAGGATTGTCTTTCTCCTACCTACATTCCTAGCCCCTAGCCCAGGTGTCCGCGCGCAGCCTCCTCCCCCGTGCTCCGGGGCTGCACGCGCGCCCCGCCCATCCCTTCTGCACAGCCGGGCGGCCAGGGGCGTGTCGAGCCCAACAACTTCGCTGTCTCTGTCTTTCGCGGCTGCATCCGAGCCCGCTCGCCGCCCCGCTGCCGATCCCAAACCCCCCCGATTGCGTTTCCCGGTGACCTGTCCCCTCCCAGCAGCGCCGAGCTCGCCAACCGATCCGCCCCTGCAGCCTGCGCCCCCCGCCCCACTCCAAACCTCGCTTACGGACCTCACGGTCTCTCCTACCGCCGCCTTCGCTGCCGCCGCGGGTGAAGCCCGCTAGCCTCTCTGCTGCACACCCAGGACGAGCGGACAGAGCTCAGCTCCCGCGGGCTCCCACTTTCGAGCTTGATCCTTGGGCTCGGGGTTCTGCGCTTCACCTGCGCGGAGCCTCTCGACACCTCAGCGCCACGGCGACCTGCGCGAACTGAACTTTTCCAAAGCTGCACCGCACAGCTCCGTGCACCCCGATCCGAGCCGAGGTTTCCTTGTGGCGGCTGCCCTCCGACGTGCAGTTCGGCCGGCTGTCCCCGAGCGCTGCTACAGTGCTCAGGGGCTGATCGTCTCCGATCAGTTTCCCGACGGCACAAGGCTTGGCGGGGAAACCGGAGCTTTGGATTTAGATGCTCAAAGCTCATGGTCGGAGCTCCCTTCAGTCTCCGCAAGGTCTAAGTTCCTAGGATCCTCGACACCCTATAGCCTCCGTCCCCTTCCCTCTCCCCAGCCCAGGCTTACGGGAATTTGAGAGCCAGATCGTTTAATTCCCGACTCCTTAACGAATGCCCTAGGAATTGCAAGTTACGGCGCGAATGGAGTAAGGAGAAGAGAACGGGGGCGCGGGGGGGAGGAGGCGGGGGGCGCTTACCAGAGTTTCGCAGCTTCTTGTTCTTGGTCACAGCCAGAATAACCATGGAGTTGCCGATCAGGTCTACGACGATGGTGATAACCATCGCGCAGAACATGAAGGTGACCAGGGCCGGTGGGTAATCGGGCTGCGACCCATTACAGCCAACGCAGTTCTTTGAAGCTGGAGGCCTTAGGGTAGGCCCCATATCTTTCCTAGGGACCCTCAAGATCTCTCCCAAAAGTAGCCGATCAGCAGCGGGGTCCGACAGCGACCACCTGCGCTGTCACCGGGAGCTCCGGGAAAGCGTGTCTTCCTCTCAGAGACTGTGAGGGGAAATGACAGCGTGCACACACCCCTCTCCGTAGAGCTTTTAAAGCCTCTAGAGTTGGGGAGCCCCTCCCGTGGCCCCTCCCCCCGACGAATCAGAGCTCCTCGACCTTCCCCACCGTACTCATCACTCTTCGTGGACAAATCCCCAGCAAGGTGTCGTCTTGCTTCCGAATGCCTTCTTTGTGCTTTCCGTCTCCTCTACCCGCCCCCCCCATCTCCCAGGTACCAACTCGCTCCGAGTCTCCCTCTCCCTCCCCAAAACCCTTTTTATAGCAAGTTCTCCCTCCAACACAAACAGTTCGCAGACAAGTAACTTTCAGAGTAGGGGTCACAAGATACTTTGAGGGCACTAATGCCCACTCCAACAAGGTATGGGAAGCAGCCCAGTTGGTGTCCCATTGATTCTTCCTCCTACCGTCTAAAGAGATTTATCCCTCGCTGCACTCTGTTGCCTATTGCATAGTTTCCCCAGCGCAGGAGGCAAACACAGCACAGCAGCCCCAGATCTCCCTCTATAAATCGAGTAACTCAATCCTGTCCTGATCTTTCCTTCTCTAGGAAGAAATATGTCGTGTATGTTTGTGGACATACGGACAGCGTCTGCACTGTAGGGGAGGGAAGAAGCAGCTGGTGGTAGCTTGGACCCCAGCTTTGGGGCGGCTGCAGGGGAATCGCAAATCTTCCCAGCTGAGATCACCAGCACAGTAGGAATTTCGGGTCGGCTTTGAGAAAAATTAAATGAACACGAAACCTTTCTACTTGGGTTGTGGCTCTTGGCTGGGGTGGGGGAGAGGGAGGAACCAGAACGAGCGACCCAACCTTCCCCCACCGGCTCGGAGCATCTCGGCTGCTTCTTACAATGAGGGATGGGTGTTCGGCCGGGAAGCGACAGGCTCTGCTTTAGCCCAGAGAACCGGCTGGGGCCGGCACCCCCAGGCTCTGTCGGAGCAGCTCCTCCCGACCCTCTCGTGACAAGCCTGGCCACGGGCATCAGGGACACTCCTTCGCGATAGTGCCGCCCCACGCACCACGAATCTCGCGCTCCAGAAGACTGACTTTCCTGCCGGGCGCCCAACACGTCCCGGCGCCCCAGGCGTGGAAAGTCGAAATTATTAGGCAAACTTAAAACGGGCGTGATGTGGACTTGGGCTCCTTTAGCAACTTGCCGGAGAGGACAGAAATTCTGGAACCTACTAGAAGGTGACTGCTCACGTCGAGAAGCCTTCCCGGGAAACCCCAAGCGGACACTTTCAATCTGGGATCACCCCAGTGACAGTAGGGAGAGGGCTTGCCCTGGCCCGGAGCGCCACCGTCTGGACACAGCAGCCCCCCTACCCACGGCGGGTGCCTATGGGTGGTCAAAGGGCGGGGGGGGGGCGGGGGATAGGGGAGGAGGAGGAGATCTGAGACGGAGTTTCAAATTCAAAGAACCTGAACGGAAAATAAATAAATAAACACTACTGAAAACCGAAATGACACACACTTTGTGTCGCTAAGAAGCTCGATGGGGAAAGGTGTTGTTCTGTTTGAAAATGAAGCCCCCAACTCACTACGGATCCCAGGAATGGGACGCCAATGGCAAACTCGCGCCTGCAGCTGTTCCTATTGCTGCTGCAGAGCGGGCGGGCGGCGCGTGGTCTCCTAATTACACTCAGCCCAGGTCTCCCTGCAGATGTCCTACAGTGTGCCTACAGCCCAGCCACCCGTGCAATCTGGGCTCCGATCTGTCAGGCTGCCCACATAGACGACCCAAGGTTTACAATCCTTTCACTGGTGGGAAAGACTGGTTTGGCATTCAACTAAACTAAATAAAATGGGACGACAACATGTCGTGGATGGGTTCTTTTCTGATACGGAGTGTCTATATGTGGAAAGGAAGCCAAGGAATTTGAGGAGATGGGTGGGGTTGGGAGAGATGGTGAACAATGATCAAGATGCACCACACTCACACGCTGACAGGGTGAACTGAAACATCTTTACACAGTTACTGAAAAAGAATTTTAAAAATACATTTTCAAAAATAAAAATGAGCAAGTGGAGGAGCTGATGTCCACTTCCTCAATATTTATAAGGAAACATATTTTTCAGAGCGTTGTTATTCTGTCATTGTCCAGAAGTATCCCTAACATGGGTGGAAACTCATTTCCATGGAACTGAGGAACAGGCAGGACAGAGTGCTGAGTCCCGACCCTCACCCAGTTTTGGACGCCACTGACCACAGGCTCATTTCTCACTATCAAGAGGCAAATATTTTAATCATCTAAAGGGAAACCAAATCTATATGTTGTTGGATTAAGTGTGTTATTTTTATGAACTAGTCCTTATAAATATTCAGGACATTGCGCCAGTTCAAAGAAAGCAAATGGATATTAAATCCATTCTATGAGGGAAAGAATCAGGACCTGTTTGTGTGAATGGAACACTTGTGTGCAATAAATTCAGTTGCTCTGGAAACATTGTAGAAGGGGAGCCCTTTATTTGATACAGTGTGGAGTGGATGGTTGTAAGTTGCAAGGATTTGCCAATAAACTCTGTAACTAAAAGCTTGCTAGAAGTCCTCATAACAAATTGGTGGACATGAGATTTGAGAACTTCCGAGACACAGAATATGCTTTCTGCTCATTTCTACTCAGGAATACAGAGCTTTCCATCTGCTGCAACCAAGCCCTCATCTTCCCTTCTGGTGGCACTAGTGGAAGATTATTTAACTCTCAAGCAAGATAATAATACCTTGCCTGTTTGACCTAATGGACTTTTGTTTTTTGTTTTGTTTTGTTTTTGTCGGTCATGGAGCTTAAACTATGGGCCTGGGTACTGTCTCTGAGCTCCTCCCAAGGCAAGCACCCTACCACTTGAGCCACAACACCACTTCAGGTTTTCTGGTGGTTTATTGGAGATAAGAGTCTCATGGACTTTCCTGCCCAGGCTGGCTTTGAACCACAGTCGTCACATCTCAGCCTCCTGAGTAGCTAGGATTACAGGCGTGAGCCACCTGTGTTGGTCTCACTGAATGGACTTAAAAAAATAACCATTTTGTAATTTCTAATGTTGATTGTAATATATTTTTCCAATAGTTCCATTAAGCACATGAAAGAATTTGACCAAGGTGATGTAACACTATGGCTCTATTTTACTCTGATTTTGCTACCGTTTTGCTCTGGGACTAGATGAGGTCGACACTGTTCTTTCTTTGTTTTTTCTGATGATTTGTGTTTGAGGATAGGAATCCAACACCTAGGCTTTGCACATGCTAGGCAAACATTCTACTACTCACTTATACCCTTAGCCCTTCTTTCTCCTTTTCACTTGTTTATTTTTATTGAGATGTAATTCCCAAGACATAATATTCACAATGTGTTTCTTTTGTATTTATTTTTATATTCTTTTTATTTATTTTTTATCTTGATTTTTATTTGGCCACTTAGGACATGTACAGAAAACTCAATTAGAAAACAAATTCTGATTTCACAGCATTGTTTCTTTTTTTTGGGTCCGGTCGTGGGGCCTAAACTCTGGGCCTGGGCACTGTCCCTCAGCTCTTCAGCTCAAGGCTAGCGCTCTACCACTTGAGCCACAGCGCCACTTCCGGCTTTTTTCTTTTTGCTTATGTGGTGCTGAGGAATTGAACCCAGGGCCTCATGCATGCAAGGCAAGCGCTCTACCACTGAGCCACCTTCCCAGCCCACTCACAGCATTGTTTCTATCTTTAGACTGGTTCTCAATAAGCAACCCAGACTGGCAAACCTGAGGTAATTTTGGCTCAGCTTTCCAAGTACTGAGATTATAGGATCAAGCTATCACCCCAAGCTAACTCTGTATATTGATTGCACTTGGCTTTTTTTTGCGGGGGGTCTGGTTGTGGGGCCTGAACTCTGGGCCTGAGCGCTGTCCCTCAGTTCTTCAGCTCAAGGCTAGCGCTCTACCACCTGAGCCACAGCACCTCTTCCGGCTTTTTGCTTATGTGGTACTGAGGAATCGAACTCAGGGCCTCATGCATGCAAGACAAGCACTCTACCACTGAGCCACCTTCCCAGCCCGGACTTGGCTTTATTTATTTATTTTTTAGTCCCTAAAGTTTTAAAATATTTTGTGATCTTTCTTGTGTTTTGTTTCTCATGACAAGATTCAGGTGTGGTCCCACATTTGAGATCCCACTGCTTCTGCCTCCTCAGTGTTTGGATTACCAGCACGCACTACAATGCTAGGATTTTTTCACTTTGGTGTACAATTCAGGCACTTTCTGTATGTGGAAAAAGTTGTGCAACCATCATCACTCTTTAATTTTAGAATTCCATCATCTCAAAAGAAACCTCATTAGCAATTACTGTACAACCCCCAGTCACCTCACACTGGAGACCCCCAGCTCGTAGATGTCACTAATGGTCATGTTTCCATGGGCTTGTGTACTTGGCTATTTCATAAATAAAAGACTTATACAATATGTACTCTTTTATGTTGGACTTCTTTCTCTTAGCATAATGCTTTGAGGTTCATCAATGTAGTAGCATGGGCCAGTATTTCATGCCATTTTATGGCTTTATCATATTCCATTGTGTGGCTAGCCTACCTATTTTTTATCCATTTATCTGCTATTGCAAGAAAAACTACTAGCAACATTCACATGCTCGTTCAACCCCAAGCAACCCTGGCCCAGGTATGGAGCTGCAGAAAGCCGCTCTCTCCTCTACATGGTATGGATGATGGCCTCAGGCACTCCAGTCCCCTCTGACCAATGCTTCTCTGAAACTGCTAAGCCATTTGCAATGGCCATGTGACACCTGTGGTTGATAGCCCAATATAGAAACATGACAAAATGGGATTCTGATGTAAGCCCAGAAAAAGGGAAGATGCCTTTTGGCTTGAATGTATTCAAGA